CAAGTACGTAGTTCTTTTCTCCCCTCTCTTTCCAAAACACGTTGCTTACATTGGCATACAGACCTACAAAGTCCACCCCGTTCTCATTCGTCATGCCCTCCTCGATTCTATCCCACAAGACAGGCAAGGGCTTACCGCTTTCTCCGACCTTCTCTTCCCCTTCTCCTACCTGTGGCCAACTACGGGCTGCTGCACAAGATTCGTAATAAAGCACTTGGTGGTCAACTATGAGCGTGCAGAATCCTGCCGTACGTGCCTTACCCTGTTCTTGCTTGGATGGAGAATGACAGAGAGGGAAACGGTTTCAGGAGATTCGGGGTGGCCATTAAGAGCGATGGGTTGTCCCTGTTGGTAACGAAGTTTTTGCGCCCTGTGTCCTTTCGACTGGGGTAAGTATGACACCCTCGCTTCTTTGATCTTCCCGTATTCAACTTCCATTCCCTGTAGCCATTACCTTCACCTCCGTTGGTGATCGACGGAGGATTCGACTAGCTCCTCCTACCCTTTCGGTCTGTACATGGAATCAAGGACGACCATTAACAAAACCTTGTCTACATGGTAAGTCTCTCGAATTGTTCCTCGATGATACGAACAAACACCATCCCTTTGACAGAATGACTTCCCTTATCAACGATCACAAAAGAGCCTCGGGATTCTTAAAACGCGTGATACAGGTGCCTGTTATACTAGGCCATTCACGCTCGCAATGGGACTTTTCACCCTCCTGTGGTCCGTCCTCTTGGTTCTCCCTTTCTGTTCTTACTCATGCATGTGTGTTAGAACCTTGTCACAGTCTCTGCTCTCACGATTTACTCTCTCCATTTGTAGGGTATGGAAGTTGGTCCAACCCGGGTTAGCGTTTATTCGGGAGGTCGTAAAACAACTTGCTGTGCAAAATCTACGCAGCAAGGACCCATGGGCCATCTGTAGCATGACATATCATGTACAACTCCCGCGCTACTACCAAAACATGAAATTCTGCTCAGTAACTATCAAATATGCGCAACAGAGGATCTAGGAATGGTTCAAGTCCGCCTCAGTCGCAGTGCCCAATCAGCACAGCAGAACAACCACCTTCATGGACAGGTGACACTCTCCATAAGGAATCCCACTACTTGGTGCGAAGGAGGAAGAACGCTCTTTAACCACGGTTCCTCGGAAGAATAGTTTGGACATGATGTTTGCACGTTAAAAGTCAACAGTTTTCCAGCCATCTTAGTCGAATAATAAGACATGTAGCTGGGTTTCCTTTCCCTGTATGAGTTGTGATCAGTCCTTCAAGTCGTAGAGATGTTAGTCAGGAATACCGACGTAAATTGAATGGAGGCTAGATGTATGTGTAGTGGGCCCGGAATCGCCGCTCCTGGAGGTACCGCTGGATACGTTTGATTTCAGTAGGAATGAGGGGCGAACGAAAAAGACCCACACGTCACAACGCAACAGGCAGTTCGCTTCCACCAACCCTCCCCTACGCGGCCGAAAAGAACGAAAGCATCGGGGACGAGTGAGAAGCGAGATGGCTGCAAGTCGCTCAAGATAACCGGGAGGACGACGCCGCTGGGCCTGCTCTTCGCAATCGATCAAGAAGACAATGAAAACTTGGTGTTTCAGTTGTAGAATATGGTGGTTTACGCAGGCAACCCGGCGCACTTCACACATGCAGGTGGCGAGTTAAGATGTCGAGAGTCAAGCTAGCACAGAAACCTTGATCATCTCTTCGAAGGCCACTTGTCATCAGCCCAGCATACACAAATATCCAGCACAGTAACGATTGTGTGGAATCAGCTAGCGATTGAAAAACTCGAAGAGAACCCAAAACTAGAAAGGAGACGCATAAATGTGGACCACAAGAACGAGGAAGGGCCACTACTAAGAACCAACACAGGGCAAGCAGGCATCTTCTGTCCGTTCAGACTTTCACAACCGAAGAAAGCCTCTTATGTAGGGGAAAACCTGTCGTAGTTTACAGCTGCAGTCGATTAGTAGAAGAAGAGTTAGGGGTAGAGAGGAAACGCACTGAACAATCCAGCCCCATGTATACAGCAGTTGACCGTAACGGTGCATAGCCCTTAGACTAGTATCGTTAACATTTGTGTGCGCAGAAGAAACTCATGATGATCAGCATTCAGTCTGCCATGCTCGTTGCTCGATAAGGCATTGAAAGACCATCGTGTCCTGAGAGAGGGTTTCAGCTTCTTTTATCCTGGTGCTAGAAAGGTGGCGTGATGGGCAAGGTCAAGACGATAAAACACGACCAGCTGTCGTCTGAAAGGTTCTGTTCGTTTGCCTGAGCGGGTGCAACGTTACAATGTTTTCCGCCGTCACATATTTGCTTCAAAGTTCAACAGCACCTGCTCACGTGAGTGAGCTTTACGAATGAAAGATGCTTCACTTCGTACTCACGCGTTCAGACGAAGGATGAGGAAATTTCGATTGCAGGTAACATAGCCGAACGTCCTGGCTTTGCCAACGTTGACACTTGAGGGTGTTCTTACACTCAAACCTGATCGGCAGAACAGAGGCTGGCACTACCACACGATCAAATACTGCACTAGCTTCTAAACTTACAGATGCTATGCTCACCATCCATCCTCTGGAGCAAAAGCAGAGCATACATACGCACCCCAAGCAAACCTATCCACGATTGCTGTGAGTACTAACCCGACACATGCGAAGCACTCAAGTATCACTGACCTATGTGCAATAGCCATGCCCCCATCATCCATACAAGTCGGTGTCCACCCGAAGACGAGGACCCTAATGAGTTTGGTGTTTCTCACCCTAGGCCTTTGCCCTCAGTAGTTCGTTATTGGCTGAGAAACCTTTGGAAAAGAAGGTAGTATCAGTAACCATCGTCATCGGTTGCATCTGATCCAAACTTACAAGACCCCAACGAGCGATCCGTATGTGTGATGTTGTGGCAGCCCACGGCGGCAACGAGCTATGGATGGATACGCACGATGGAGAATTTATGCTGTGCAAAGGCTGAGTCCGGAAATAACGAATTCTTGTGGTACAGGCAGAGATTGGCGTCACTGGGTACATATACCATGTACGTAACGGCAAATAGAGCGTCGGGAATGAAGATACCGAGAAGCTCTGAGCACTGAGCCAGCTTTGGCAGAGGAGAAGGACCGAACAGCGGAATAGGTGGGTGCAACCGATGAGACGATCGATGCATGTGAGAGGTCTGCCTGCGGCCACTGGCAAATAGTCGATGTTGGAAGAACGAGCTTGGTATGGAGGCAAGTTCGTTGGAAGGATTGAACGATGGCGAAATTTCCTGCGTGAGTCGATGCACGAAGGGATGCAAGTGGCCGGGTCGTGCGGGTTACGGTGGACCTAGGAAAGACGGTAGGATCAACGAAGTGGGGCTTGTGTTGGTGGTATGAAACCAGGACCTGAGTAACAGACGGAAGTAGTTAGCAAGCAAAACATCGGATATATGCGAGTTAAAAGGCATCCAGAGATCGAGGGAGGAATAAGGGTACGAATGAATGAGTAACGCAAGGGCGATAACTTACCAAAGGAGATATGGTTATCCTGACTCTCCAGCTCTCCGACTAAAGCTTGCGATCATGATCAGATGGGCAGTGACCTAGCATGCCGTGTGGAGCTTTTCAAGAGGGTATTGCCGTCGTCGAGCTGGGCATCGTTAAAACCGCCCGCCACGTCTGCAACGGAAAGGCCGTTAGGGCAGGCGTTGTCGACTTGCAAGAAAGATATACTGACGATCAACTTGAGCCAACAGAGTCGCTTCGAGCGCGTTACCGGGTGGTAGTCCAAAGATGGAGTTGAAGCAAAAAAAAGTTGATTCAAAATCCTGTTCATACCGTAAGCATCCAGTAAACTTCCCAATTTCAATGTTTCAATCGTCGTACCAGTAGAAATCTGTGGTTTGCGGTTTGTATGCTTTTTTGAGGTTAAGAGGACCGGAACTGTCACAGAATTGTCAGCATATCAGACAAACGTAGGCAGACGGAGGAAGAGGGGTATGGTTGCGGCACAGAAGGGGAAAACGAGCTAAGGCAGAAAGGGGAGTAAATCTAACGGAAGGAGGAACTCACTCAGAGCCAGTGGACTCGAACATCTTCAGCGCATGCTTTGAATCTCAACAGCTCCCCGCTCTCTGTGGATCGGTACAAGTTGACGAAGGCGGGTATCGGGTTAAATTTTGATCACAGTGCGAGGTTGGGTCTCCAGGCGATGTCAGCAGTAGCTGAACCTAGAGAGGAAACATTGGACGACTCGTCATGAAACTCCATTCGACGAGGGGGGTTCGCGGCGGAGTTGAATCCATGGATACTTCGCGACGGAAAGCTGGCCAAACAAACACAACATCTACTTGACAACAACGATTTTGCAAGTAGGAGGGCCCATAGGTGGGTCGCAAGGTAATGAAAGAAAAGGGTGTGTTTAGTCACCTTTCGCACAGCCACAAGCAAAACAAGCACGACCGTGACCACACATCTTCCTTTCGTTCGTCCCTTGGAGTTTCAATTTCCCTCAGTCTTGAGAGGTGTTCGTCGTTTTGCTTCTCTGACACACTTCTCAGTTGACCGCCATCCTTGTGGCCTGACTTGACGCCGAACCACTGTGGGAGGCAAGTGGGAGGGACCTCAATCAGGAACGTCAGCTGACTCTGTGAAACGGTCCGTTAGCCATTTTGAAGATTGACGCCGCACAGCATCGATTCTCTCTTCTGAACCACCATGTCTGATCCCATTGATCCCCGCGAAAACCGTTTGAAACGCAAGCTCGAGGAATTGCCCGACGAAGGCACGATCACTGACCACCCACATAATAAACACTATGGTGGTTTGAGGTTAGAGTTCATGATCTCGGGCTACTAGATAAATATTAACGTGAATCCATCAGCCCCAGCACCGCCCTGCCTAGCTTGATAACTCCATCTTCAACCATCAGTGCAGTGGACATAGCCATGGCAGGCAGCAGTAAGATACATTCTAATCTTCCTGCATCAAAGTGAGCAGTGATTGCTCATCAATTCAAATTTCCAGGTGATCAGGTTGATGTCTCTGTGGATGGAGGGCTCCAGTGCTTGCAACAAGTTTTACCTATCTCCACTGGTCTGCATTAACCCCAAATCTCTATCATTCATCAT